ACCTAACCACACCACCAACACCTAACCTCACCACCATCACCTCACCCCCACCACCTAGCCTCGCACCACATCTCAACAACAGCATGTTACATTAATATCAACACATCACATGAACATTACTCCTCAACATCAACACTTTATCCAAACATCTTCACGCTGCCTCAACATCCACAGCTCACCTGTACTTAACAACATCTGTACCTCATCTCATCACCTACACCTCACATCTATACCTCACCTCATCACCTGCACCTAAACATCTGTACCTCGCATAATTTACACCTCATAACACCTGTACCTCACCACATCACCTGCACCTCACATCATCCGTACCTCACCTCATTAACTGCACCTTATAGCATCTGTAATTCACCTCATCACCTGCACCTCACATCTGTACGTCATCTCATCACCTGCACCTCACAACATCTGCATCTCACCTCATCACCTGCACCTCACAACATCTGTACCTCATCTCATTACCTGCACCTCAACATCTGTACCTCATCTCATCATCTGATCTCACAATCTTTGTATCACACCTCATAACCAACTCCTTCCAACATGTTAACCTCCGTGGCCCCATCTACATCTTTCTTCGACGAAGCAAACAAAGCAACGTCGCTTGAATGAGCATGCTGGGTATGAGATTTTAATATTCTAATATTTTAATATTATTAGTGTTACCAGTAGCTGGTAATAAAAACTAGTGACGCAGTGCATGTACATAAAATTTACGCGTATGCAAAAAGAATACTCAACTAGTTAATTAAAACTCAGCGGGATTGCTGAAATTACATTTTTGCTACCAATTGGGTATCCGTGGTTGAATCACAGACAGGAAACAGCGAAAGTCATCTTCCACGTTGAACAGATTACACTGTTTCAGTGTGATGATCAATAACGTGGAAAAACCGCTTCGCAGATATAGGTAGACTAGAATGGCAGAAGCACGTGTGGAGAGCCATTTTGTTGATATTAGAGTAGCGACCCATTGCCAATCAAAACTCCATCTACCACTATTAGCTGATAAATATTTTAAACTCTGGCACTCTGGAATGAGGGTGAAGCCTTATTCAATTTTATTATGAAATAATATAGTTCAAATTACCCCCTCCCTAAAAAAATGAATAAATAAATAAAAATACTGGAAGTAGGACTCTGGTGGAGCCTTAACCAATATATCTTTCCAATATTCAGCCGGTGAATAATAAAAAATAATGGGTAAGGTGTAACACTACACTTCTATGACTACGCCATTCGCACTGTAATAGCAAATGCTGTTGTTGCTACTAGTCTGAGGCAGTAGTCCCTCACTCAGGTTATATCCAAACCTATTCAGTACAAAGTTACGGGTGCAAATAAGCTTTTATTAAACACACTTGTCTTGTAAGAGAATTTATTTAGATTCAGGAGCCAGTGAGGAGCAGAGTGTGGCAACACTATTCTTGGCTGGAATCCAGAAGAGGAGATCCGTGAGTCACTAAGGCGTTATTTAAACCGATGAGTGAATTCTAGCCGAGGTAACACAGCAGTCAAGAAAAGTAAGTGTTCCTCAGGAGGAGTTAAAACGGAGGAACGAAAAGATTGTCTCTTATCTCTCTCGGAAAATATTTTTGTTTTCTTCACTTCTAACACACTCAAGCAGCCTGCACTCGAGGGGGGTGTCAACTCACGCCAGGTAGTGTTCATTTCAAAGTTGTGGTCTTGGATTTTTTACCATATTACTGTTTAAACAATGTAAGGATCTTTCAACGAATATACAATACAAACCATGTATAAATATTTCTTTTTCTATGTTCAAATATGATGTCGACATACATGCATGCATAATGTAGAGGAAATTTACCGAACATGCCTCTTCGTCCTTTTCATTATATTAATCTATTTCTAACGAAATGGGTCGGGATCAAACTTATTCCGGTAACTCGATTTTTTTTCGGAAAATAGAGAAGTGACAATTCTACGGATCACTTTAAGACTCCCACTGATAACGTCAGGATGGTTAATCTTCAAAAGGTTAAGTTTTGGGAGGTTAATTTTCAGTTGAGTATTAAGGTCCACAGTGGCCTACTCTCGTCTCAAAGATTTTGCCACACTATCCATTCTGTTATTGAATCACATCATATCTCAAATATTGGAGCCTCCCACAGGCTTAGTGTGTGTTTGTATTTGTTACCTATTATATCTTGGTGAACAAGCTATCAAAACCCACATATGAAATGAATATCGATTACAGAAAATATTACCTTGAAAATGTCCATAAAATCCTCGGGTAAAGAATGGGCAGGACATCTATCCTTGTTGAATCTAGGTGTTACATACGAACTGGGATAGTGGATTTAATATACGTCTCTGTCTTCTTTCTATATTTGTTCTCTCTGTTTCGTTAATCTCTTTCTCCTGGTTCATAGTGTCGTCTTCATTCTCTCCTTGGATTACTTCTCTTCCTCGGTTTCACTGTTTTTACCTTAACTTAATCCATATCATTTTTAGTTCACTTTCGTAGAACAGCAAGAGCTTATCTTGTATCCCGGCAGTGGCGTTGCTTTTACTTAATGTTTTCCTTCAAGTGTTTATTGTTTGAATAGGAGAGTTGTCTTGCTCCCCAACACTTCTTGTTTTTCTCCCTCTCGCTCACTGAGTCCGTCTGGGTACAAACGGGTAATCTTCTCTGTCCCTCCTTTCTGTTGCTTTTATTTCTCCTTTCGCACAATTTATCTCTTCCTTTAATATTTTCTCTTTCTCGCTCTATTCTGTCGTTTGTCTTAAGGAGGATAAAATTATTCGATATCGTGAAATCATGAGCTATTTTACAACACAATTTATATATAACGTAAATTTTATGAAGGATGAATTGCTGGGTGGCATACGGTTACCAATCATAGCTTAGCACTCATAAGTCATCTCAGATCAACTGGAGATTAGACACCAGTTTATTTCCTCTTAAGATTAACCACCCTAACAATAAACTACCCCAGACATCAATATGGAGGCTAATCTTCAGCTTAAGAATAACTATGTTGATGTTATAACTTCATGAAAATTAATGCATGTATGGAAAATTTAATACTTAATGAAGGAGTCATTCACTATTTTAACATAATCATACTTTATCTGAATAAGGTTAGAAGACATTGGATGGGCTAAATTAGAATAGGTTAGGATAGGTTAAGTTAGGTTAGGTTGGTCTTAACGAGATCCTGGAGAATCACGTTAAAGTGGTCTCGAATATTTCGGCGGTTCGCTTTGACAGGATCGGAGAGAACTAGGAGGGGTATTAATCTCACACTGACACTTTCTCCTCTAAACACATCCCTAATCTCCGGAATGAGTCCCCAAGGAACTCCTTCACTGTTATCCATTTATCCTTCACTATAAATTTCTCATAACAAATAAAAAAATAAAAAAATATAGTAGTTTCCTTTTCTACCACTGTAAATAAAAAAAAAAATCCTCATAGTTGCATTTTTCCACGCATCTTGGATTTTCAAAAATCATACATTAAGACAGTCTTTTCTCTCATCTAAAAACGTTAAAATACTTCAAGTGGTTTAGTTAAGATAATGCAAAGAGATCGTAGCTCAAAGGGGATTTAAAATAACGTTGACTCTAAGAAACAGACAAGTTCTCTTAACACCAGGCAAATATAAATAAAATTTGCAAATGTTTCAGAATGTGAACTCCGGAAAGGGTAAGGTTAATTACAATTACCTGAAGATTGATCAAGCATAAACCTATGTCTAGGTTCATGAGTCCTACCACGTTTCTGACACACATATATAAATGTATCACGTATCTGACACACATACAGCATACTGTATATGTATCAAGTATTTAACTATAATTTGCATATATCTATCACGTATTCAACTATACTTTGCATATATCTATCACACGTACCTACACAATAGCCACGTGTTTAAGTGAACAGGTGAAACATGTTCTACTATAAGTTTGTTGATATGTTAACATCTATAGTGTTCAGTAAATGTTCGGGCATCTATTGCTTTCGAGGTCCATAACTGCCAGGGTATGCATGAGTTTCTGAGACTGTATTATCTGTCACTACCACAAGTTCAATTATTACTCCAATTTCTGTAACTAGCTCAATATTTCACTACCAAATGATTGCAATAACTACAACTTCGAAGAACATCGGATCCTTTGTGGCTTAAAACAAGGCAGTAATAATGCCTCTATGCTCGAAACAAGGCTAACAAAATAATTGGGTTCATATCAATGAGTGTTGGTTACAAGACTGCCGAGGTTATCCTTAAACTATATATCGCATATGTGAGAGCTGGCTTGGATTATGAGGTTCAGATTTGGTTCACCGTACTTCAGAATGGATATCGATTACCTAGAAAGCATTCGGAGGAGGAGGACAAAGATAATCCCGAGCTTTAGTAACTTTGAGTATGGGGATCTGAATTTGCACTCCCCCGAGAGAAACCAACACAGAAAAGTTATTGTTTTTTACAATATCAGAATATAAATACGATAGATTAAATACTAATGAACTGTAGCGACTGTTCGGCTGCCCGTCCGCCAGCCAATAAGTTGCTTTGCTACAAACTGACCATGAACAGATTATACTTTCATTAAGCATAGTGAATCTGTTAACATGAATATGAGTAACATCATGTGCAAGCCCGATAATTTTGTCATTAGTAAGATTTGTAACCAGGTAAAATGTATGGGTAACTCCTTAGCGACTTGCCCATGGTGAACAGGTGCTGTCCCAAGGGACTTTATCTTACTTTCCGTTTCTGTATATACATTGGCCTTGTTATTAACTACTACTCAGTCTGTACTCACACCTGAAGTTGCGAATTACACAAAAAACCCTAGGAAGTTCGTGTTTTATTTTTCCCTTTGTGTTTATCAACATATACTGTACATGGCTCGTGCACAACTTCTTGTTTCTCTCTCGCTAAGCCACACTTTTTCTTTTTCTCCAACCAGACACTTACTTTTCCCAACCCTCTCCCTGACAGGTGGGGAGTGTGGGGAACAGGAGTTCCAGTGCCCCAACAGCCAGTGTATCCCCCTGGGCAACGTGTGCGACTCTCAGTGTGACTGTGTTGGGTGTTCAGACGAGGACTGTGGAGGACTGTACACTACAGTGTCTGGTAGGTACAGTAACTACTTCTGGTCACCCTGATGCCTCTGTACGTCACCTGCTAGAGACTGTGTGTGTGTGTGTGTGTGTGTGTGTGTGTGTGTGTGTTTGTTTTAACATTAAAAAGGCGTATGCTATGTGAACACGATAAAAAAATATATGATGCGAGTTTCCTGCTCAGTATATTTTTATTTTAATGACATAATGCTAAATACACAGGCCTGACGCACCTTGTTCAGTATTCTGAATTAAAAGTCAATTAAATTTTTAGATAACTGAATATTATCAATTAAGATAAATGATATATCTTCTCCCAGTCAGCCGGATGTGGTAAGGCTTTTGCACTGGTTGATTGGTAGACTAAGTTGGACATTTTCCTTCACCTCCATCAACACGATGCTGTTACATACCCTCTTTTAATTGTGTGAAATTAATGAGGCTGAATTAATTATTATTTTTTCTGAGTATTTAATGTCACTAACTGACAGTTGACAATTCAGGACTACTGGGACTGAATAAATACGTGACCATTATTTTAATGGTTCACGGACCAATTTTTCTTTGTTGATATTTGTGAACTGCCTTTCTATATAAGTTGCCGGGAAAATAGTACTGCCCGCAGACATACATATGTATAAAGCAGCCTACTCTATGCTGACATGAACCTCGGTGTAGTGAGGTCCAGGAATGTAAATGTCGTTTCCCGGGTGTAGAAATCGGTATCTAATGCTTCATTTAGTTCTGGTGCTGATTTCGGAACTCAAATATAAATGAAATTCAGATGAAGTCTCGCTTACCTAGAAACGCATACGAGTATATCTATTGTATATTTGCACTTTGTATTTTAGGAATTACTTTTCATTTGATGTGTGGCATCAAAGAGCAAAGCCGTGGAAAATAATGTAATACAACAAAAGTACAACAGGCCTTTTATCTATGCTGTAACAGACTCATGATTCATTCTGTTAATCCAATACAACAATGTTATTATTTTAATTATTAAAATGTTATGAACATGCATACGAAGAGCAATAATGTAGAATCAATGTACGTACAGTCAGCCAGAGATGCACCGACCCCACCCTGGATCTCGTGCTCGCAATTTTACCTGGCAATACTTGGTAAAGTAAGGCTGTATGTAAAGGTGTTTGTGATGGGTGGATCTATTTTCGGCTGTATCACTGTCAGGATAAATATTAAACAATCCAAAGGTAGAATTATCATAATAATAAACTATGACAGTTCTAAGAGGATGAATGACGCTGAATTGGTAAAGACTTAAAAGGTCATTTCATAACGGTGTAAAGGAATTCAAAGTTCCAGAAGTTCATTAAGTTAATGAAATACACAAGTCACTACCCAAAAAATCACTGATTCAAAACAAATTCCGTAAAGACTTTATATAGCAAACGTGTAGTCTGACTTCATTAGAGGTTTTAATTTTCGGTCTTCCTTAGGGAGTTATGATAAGATCATAAAATTCCGAAGGAAAACCGTATATATTCACATTCCTATAATATTTTATTTTCCTCCTATTAAATAAGTCCCCCCAAATAATATGGTTGCAACCCTCTCTTTATCCTTTACCAGTAATATTAGTGGAGTCTTCAATTAAAAGGGACAACTACACTACTAACGATGTGTTAAAAGCAAAAATTAATAAAGATACGAAATTTTGTAAAACTTTATGTATTCGCCTTTCAGTGAGGCAGGGCAAAGAATACCAGAGACAAGTAAACAACAACCTGTCAGCTGTTAAATTTACCTTTTGTCACAAGAAATAGGATCGTAAAGGTTATTAAACCTCAAATGAAATGGGGAGGTGACTGTGATGAACTGAGAAGTAACTGTACTTGATGAACTGAGGGGTGACTGTTTAGTTGAATTCAGAGTGATAGGGACTAATCCAAGTGCTTGGTGTTTGTAGCATTAACTATAGTTAAACTAATAGTGTAAATTTTGTCGATAAGTTTGCAAGTATTAGAAGATGTCACGGTAAAGTACGTCTGGTAACGTAAGGAGAAGGAGTAATCTTTTTGGTGAGGCAACTAATAACTGATACTATTATGCCAGGTGTAGCAGTGTGCAAAGTTGGAGTAGCCATCACATGCGTGGTGTCAAACTATCAACGTCAGAAGGACAGGTGTGTTGCAGCTAAATACCTCTGTGACGGACTCAACCACTGCCACAACGGGGACCAGGTGTCTGACGAAACAGGCTGTTGTAAGTATGGGAAAATAATTTGTCCATGAAACACTTGATGCCGAAACTTTGACGAGTCACCCCACCTCATATTAGTATTATATAATGACACTGAGCATCATAGTCCCACCTAGTAACTATATTGAAAATTATTTGATGGTTGTATGAAGCAGAGGTGTTTTATCACTATTTCGGCAATCGCTGCCTGAAGCAAAAAATATTATCAAAGCATCACTGAAAACTTTAATACATGTCAGGAAAATTTGTACTATGACATTTATAAATTAAAAATAAAGGAAACAAATCCTTTGAACCATATCAATTATTTTTCCCCAAAAGGAAACATAACTGGTTGAATAACATAACCTACACCGACTTAATTGTTAGCATAAATCCTAAATTGATCGAGTTAAAAACATTAGGGGGGGAATTCAGAGATGAGTCGTTGTTCTTGTGAGGAGGAGCAGGATCGCCATGGTAGTTCACAAAAGGATATTAAGATATTTTGCTCTTTGTGTATCCCGTCTGCAATTCACAAAACAGATTCTACTACATTCAGTAAATCTTGTAGTTTATTAAATTCAACTGTACCTCATTTTTGTATGAGATTAATTAAATAATTTGGAGATACATTTTATGTGTTTTATTATAAATTATACTCTTAGCTTGAAACAAGAAACATCAGCTGTTTTATATTAATTTATAACTACTTTTGTATCTTGAATATAGCAGTCAGCTTCCTTGTCTCATTTAATCCTTATTTTGTACATAATTCATGAAGAATAATTTATCAGCCAATGCTAATGAATATAAACTTATTGTCTCAAAAATTTCCTGCATATGTCTAATCAATTAAATTATCTAAAATTATTTTTTATAGTTAATAAAACTAACTAATTTATGTAATGCTCTCCACGTCGGTCGAATAAATTTGAACTAAAACAGTTACCTCCTGCCTTAACTTGTCGTTATTCGTATTTGTCTATATTCAAGTTAATTTTCCTAAATTAACATGCTATCATGTAAGTAATTTTGGTGGAACTATACTGCACAAATATACTACATATTGACACATTCTGAGTGTGGCAGAGGTCGTTTGCACGGAAGATTAGCTCCCGCCAAAAGTAAGTGGTTTCGACACTTTTTTTTCTATTCTCCATGTGTGATCTGAATTTTCTACACAAACTTATTTGTGATTTTTATTATCTTTCTGAAATCTGAAATCCATCTGAACTGTGTGATACGTATCAACAACAAGGACTAGCCTTAACTAATCTCATTATTTATATTTTGAAGACGACTTTATACACGGCACCATAATCATGTGACATAATGTACCAACTCGTCCTTCAACGGATCTGGAACTCAATTAATCTGTTCACTTATTACACTTGCTTTCATCTACTGAGGAACCTTTGCAAATTCTCATTTGAATATTAATCACTCAGAATCTTCTCTCCTTTCACTCTACAATTCTTTCCCATCGTTTCAACACAACATTTGATTCCCGAAGTAAATAAAAACTAACTTTTCTCCTTCAAATTGCTGTGCACTTCAAGGTACCAAACCTCATTAATTCTGCTCATCTCGCACCTAACTATATTTGGATTCCTTCTCAAGTCTCTTAGGCTTCATTACCCAGTTTCTCAGATGATATCCCACGACTCGATGAAATCAACTGAAACAGAGGCTTGATAAGAAACGTAAGCTAAAGACCTAATTTGTACCTCATCCCCTCAGCAGGTCCCTACGGATGTGGTATGCGGTGTTACCCTTAGTGGATTTCGTAACAAAAACAATTAGAATTAAGCTCACTGACTCCGCAACAATAACTGACGGCACTCAGTTCTGATCCAAATCCTTCAACAGCTCCCTTTCCAATTAATTATCACTCGAGCTATTATTACCTGGGGGGAAGGGCAGTGGGCAAGACAGTGTGTTTACTCTCAGAAACCACCAACCCAAATGAAAGTAACTGCATTCATTTCATAGTCAAACACTTCATCTATAACATTGCTGTTTTCATATTATGTTTGAATCATAGAACATTTATAATTGTATCAGACTGATCTTTAATTGACTAATTCTTTCATCGAGTATATGTCGATTTTTTTTGTAGCGATACTATTATCAAAATAATAAGCTGTAATCTAGTATTCTTTGAACCTTAATGAATAAATTAATATGTACAACCAACAGTACATTTACTTCGTGTAATGAGTTTTTTTTTTCAACTTCTAGCACAGGAGTGATCATTACAAGGCTAATCTCTCTCTCTCTGCAGGAATTAAATCACAGTATATACGCTGTTGTTTGAAAATTAAAAATGTTTCGAGTACTTTACAGTCCTTCAATGGCAGATAAAAAACATATGGACACATTATATATACCTAGTCAATTTACCTGTAATATTACGTATAATATGTGCAAGAGTGTGTATCGTGTATTTCTTATCTTTTGTTAATGTGCTACTTATCGTAAAGTCTTTCGTTATGGTACCTATTGAGAAAGTACTCGGAACTCGTACCCACTCACCGTGTCTGAATTACCGAGGCTTTAACATATATTGAATAGGAAAATATGGATCATGTATGTGGTAACACTATACATTTTTTCGGGATATTTACAGCGAAGGTGAGCGAGATGTGCGAGTGGGCGGGGCCAGATGGGGAGTGGTTCCCTTGTTCGGAAGGCCGCTGTATCCCCGCCAGGCTACGCTGTGACAGGAAGATGGACTGTCTCCATGGCGAGGACGAGGAAGACTGTCGTGAGTATTTTTTGGTTGTCTGTGATAGACTTGTGAGTACTAAATTTCATCTACCATACTGATTACTGTTGTTAATAGTGATGGTTTGTTAATAATGACTTATTAGTAATGGTTTAAAATACCCAAATTTAGTACTGCATTGGTGTTTGTTTAAGTTAGTGAAAAATCTTGGGAGTACCGAGTCTCTGTAAAGTTTTTGATGGTGGTGTCCGTTATTGATGACTATAATGGGTATCTGATAGTCATCTCTGTTAGTAAGAAATACAAACTCCGATGGTTGTCGAAGAAACAGCTTCAAGACTCGACTTCTCAAGGATTTACGCGTAAAATCATTTTCACAACTTGGTATTTGAAGGAATGCATAAAAGTGGCTTACTGAACTTAAAACAGTGTTAAAGGTCACTGTAATATATACTTGTACATTACACAAACTACAATACAATAACCACATCTATTCTATTTATCGCAGGGGTAAAAAAAACACAGTACCCATCTTTAATAATGCTGACGCTTGACTACTAAAACAATTGCTGCGAGATGTATTACTAACTACGCTACATTTATCCTTTAAACATGCTATCCTGTTACACTTAAGTATTACCTTAGGTGGCATGTACTTATTATAATTAGTACTCCTGACGTTACAGCGGCCCCGGAGTGTCTGGGGGGTCAGTGGCGATGTGATAGTGGACAGTGTGTTCCACCGACTGACCGATGTGACCTTCACTTTGACTGTTACGATAAGTCGGATGAGCTCTACTGCAGTGAGTTTTGGTTTATGTGTCTCTCCTTATTGTCATGTGCCTTGTGTGTCATTCCTTCAGTAATTTAAGTGTTTGTATTTCCATCATGTGCTGTTTTCCTCCTACAATTGACGCCTTCTCTATACTGTATGCTATCTGAATGCCTCATTTTATTATTTTGCTACAGTAATTGGTTCCTCGCTGCACTGGGTAACTGATATAGTAATATAACCCAATTTTGTTATTTTCAGCCCTTGACTGTTATTGTCTCCACAATGAGCTGTTTCTTTATTACTTTCGGTACTCGAGTCTTTAAGGTACAGTCACTCAAAAAAGTCCTGTCGCGAACCACGAACCCCGAGATTCAGACTCGTGAACCCGAAGCAGTTGACAATGATACATTATTCTGTCCATAAATGCTTCGGATTCAAGAGTCTGAATCTCGGGGTTCATGGTTCGTGACAAGACTTTTTTGGGTGACTGTACATAAAAGTATATAGTCATATGAGTAAATTATTGTAACAAAGAAAGTCCATCAAAATTTAGAAACTTTTCGGTTGTATGGATAGAAGGCTCGCTTCCTGCCCTATGGATCTTTGGAGGTATACCTAATTCTATAGTTGGGGGAAGTAATAGTGGTCGAGTTCATTGCCAGTTAACCCCTCTCCTTGTGTACCGATGACTTAGTAGTCACTATTTTTACCCGCACTGCCCTTAACTGGTCGCCAGGTTTATTGGACTCACTTCAGGTACTGACAACCTTTTACAAATGTGATTGCGACTTGAAATGATTAAAGACCACGTGTTAGTGGAGCAACTAGCTCAGTGAAAGTTGAGGTATCATCATGAAGAAAACAAGGAAATTGGAACAATAAAAGTGATTGCATTGTCAATTAGGAATTTTTACAGGAATAGATCACCAGAAACGGCAACATCACTACAGTCAATTAGTGCTGACACGTCACAAACGACTGTTATTAATCCAGACAATCATTGTGATGGACCTGTTATGAACAGTACATATCGTGCAATTCTCTTGTGTCGGCCATTCTAGCAATGCACTAGACAAAAAGTTGAATCATAATAAAATGTCCATTAAAGAAAATTTGCATTTATATTAATATTTTGCGCACATTTTCGAGGTATAATAAGAAGGTAGACTGTTTTTGTAAAGTTAATGGGTTATTATCAACAGCCACACACCAGCCACTTCCTAGAAAGTCCTGGTTTACAACTTAACTCAATTCATTTATGATTACACACACACAAGGACATATAAACATATGGTAAGAAATTGCATGATTATTATGAACGAACAATGGAGCTCAGTAAATAAAATGAATTACATTTAATTTTTTTTTTTGCTGGAATACCGTTGAGACATGATCCTTCTTATGACATTGTTTCTCTCATACTGTTGATCATGAACTGAAGACTAAGATTCAGTATCCGGTTTCAGACGAATAGATGGTGTTCAGTCCGAGTGCAGCTAGGTTGGGTGCGGATGGTTCAAGACAAAAGTGGTGGCTTTTCTCGGATATGCCTGGCCTTTACAGAATAAAACTTTTGGAATTTAACTAATATTTATTTAGTTAAATTATCCTGAGACGAGAGCTTTGAGTTCCTAGCGTTACGGTAGAAGTACTGATGTTTGCCTGCCTAGAATTAAGGTTATGAAGTCTAAAGTCCACACTTTCTCTGTTGCGGTGCTGAGAGGAGTTGAATCTGACCCGATGGTCTTCGTGATGTCTTGTGAAGCCGATATCAAATATGAATTAATATAACAATGAGTGTCTATCCTCAGCAGCAAAACTCTCTTCAGTCTTCTGTCTCCTTTACGGTATATTCATGCTAATGAGTATCTTTATGATATGTAGGTGAAGGAACAATTTTTAAATTTAATCACCATTAGGTCCAAGACACACAATTGTCTCTTAGAAAAAGGAGTCGATATCAAGACTTGGTAGCTTTCGCTTATTAGAGAACCAAGATGTCTACTAGGACGAATGGGTATCCAATTAACTATCGACAAATTACTGTTATTCTTTACACTCAGTAGCTAAATGTAACGCATTGCCTGTCACTATGCTAAGAGCTCGAGTCTACGAGTAGGAGGTTAAATTATGTTTTACAGATGTACGAACTCATTGCAACTACTGAGGTGCTTGGTGCTAGAGCTGATAGCATTAGGGACCCAAGAAGACTAAAAGGACGAATGGGTATTCGAGTCTCTCGTGAATATGCGAGCTCATTAATTGAATTTGGTGGATCACACCTCCGCTACCCACTTACACACCCGGGATACTTAAGCTTGAATGACTATTTTAGACACTATCTTCTATGGCTTGTATACATATAATGTAGAGATAAAACAGTCACACACACATTTGTCGACTTATGAGACTTATGATAATTCATATTAACCTCGGCAGATGATCACCAGTGCAGCCCAGGTCACGTTAAGTGTCATACGGGTCAGTGTTTACGTCAGGATTTCTGGTGTGATCACATCCCTGACTGTCCTGACAAGTCCGACGAGCTCTACTGTGGTGAGTATTAATTTTTTTAATGACATAATATCTACCGTCTAGGTCTCGCTGTAATATTGTGTGATCGATGAGCACTATAAAGTTACGTGAGAACAGCTTTATTGGGTTTAAGTGCTGCCAAGTGTGTTTGGTAATCTGTACTCCTAGAAGTACATCGTTTCCCTTTTCCCTGCGTGATTTTATCAAGATTTATCTTATCCACGTTTTCATTGTGGATCTACATGAAAAAAATCAAAGAACAAAAACTATCACATTGGATGGAAAGGACTTTTTCTTTTACTTTCCCTCATTTTCTATTATATATATATATATATATATATATATATATATATATATATATATATATATATATATATATATATATATATATATATATATATATATATATATATATATATATATATATATAGAGAGAGAGAGAGAGAGAGAGAGAGAGAGAGAGAGAGAGAGAGAGAGAGAGTAAAAAAAAGTCGTTTCCATCCAATGTGATAGTTTTTGTTCTTTGATTACCAAAACGTTATCATTGTTATCTCCACCCTACCCGTTATAAACCGATAAAAACAGTTTTATGTCCAGGAAAGTCAGATATTCATGTACTTAAAATATTTTATAGGTATATAATTATTTCAGTATCAAAACTGTCATGTATGCATCAGGTCTTGCAGAGTAGTGTCTAAAATTTTCGCTGAACAAACATCAGGCTAGTAACCAAGCTGAGCGTCTATTTCGAGGTTGAACTAGTCTAAAAATCAACTCTCACACTTTTGTTATTGTTGGTAATTTTCATATAATGGGGTAAAAAAATAGCAGAATTTGGGGAAAAGTCATCAGTAATAATACATTGAAATGTGTCTGTAACTATTCCTCTTAAGAATAACTTCAGCAGATTTCAGGTAAAATAATGATAATATTATTCTGAGAGAAAATTCATCCACTCAGGGAAAAACAGCACTTGAAACTTGATCATGACAACTACGATAAGTTCAATTCTGTGAAAAGCGGACAGCGGTTCATTGTTCTGTACATATATTCAGCATTTTTTAATTGCATTCATGTAAGTGCGGTATATCTTTTCACTCACTCCTCATTACATCGCTCATACCCATGTGTGTGTGTGGGTGATGTCATGCTGCACACGTGTAGTCCGGCAGCTTGATAACGTGAAACTGACGGTCAAAAGATGACAATAACCCGATTCCCCTTTTTTATAGCATGACTTTTTATTTGTTCGTTTTTCTCTTACAAAGGGAGGGGAAGTTGAAGAGCTCTATGTAAATCCAGTAAGAGAGGAAGCCATCGGGCTGGTGTTGAGGGGAGAGGCCAGCATGATGGTGTTGAGGGGAGAGGCCAGCATGATGGTGTTGGAGGACGAGTTCATCTTACTGTTGTTGGAGAAGGGGCAAATCATGGTGATGACGAGAGTGGAAACACCATACTGGTATTGGATGGGGCAGGACACCCTACTGGAGTTGGAGCAGTCGACCACTAAGAGGGGATATATCACTATTCTGGTGTATGAATGGTGTTCACTAACCTGGTGTTGACAGGGGAAGGGACCATGCCGGCTCAGGAGGTAGAGAGAACAAGAAGAGTGTTGAAAGGAAAGACCACCATTCAGGAGTAGGAGGGAGAGCCACCATAATATTATGTGATTCATTAACATACAATTATTTTAAGTATGATGGAGGTCTTCTGTGCCCATGTTAATGAATGTCCGTTATTATTGAATTTTAGTAATTGAAGTTTTATAATGTAGTAATTAAAGACCTTTGGTCTAACAAGTCATTTCACGAAAAAAAGATGACGAGAAATTATAAAAGTTGGAGATATAGTATAAATGAATGTACACAAATTATACCATTAATAAAAAACGCTAACTGTTCAACTGTAATTACTTTATGTTCTACAGCATCAGATAATGCCAGGCTTACTCAGTTTGTTGATACTCTTTTGTCATTATCGGCATACACGTTAACAGCCTAAACTTATATTGTATGATCAATCTGCTACAGTATAAGAGATATCAAAATCAAATAAAACGATTGTATCTGTTCTAGCAGTAAACCTGCTTGTTAAGAATACAAACATATTGCCTCAGAACAGGCTGAAATGGTTTTTTTTCCAAGTACTTACACATACACAGCACAACCATCAGTGGATTACCATGATTGCAGTGATAAGTTTGTCAACATGTGATAATGCAACTTGTGTTTACATGTAAAATTGACAGTAAATGAGATCAACTCTTTCATAGATAGCGCATAATGCATATTTACTTTATTTAATTTAAGCAGACTGTTAAATGTTGTAATTTCAAAATATACAAACAAACTTGTATTTGCAGTGCGTGTACTTAGTTTGTTTTATTCACATTATTTTTTTTTTGACTGAGAAAACAAATACATACAGAAGAATGAAGGACCCTGGCATAAAAGAACTATCAAGAGGATCATGTATTCATTAGTCAAGTTCTATCATCTGGACCCCCCCTCCCCCACCCATCAAAACAAAGGAGGATCATGCAGATATCTTACAGGTTATTTTGAACGTTCTGAGCAATGCTATCGAAACTGTAGAAACCCGAAAAGAAGCATAAATTCCGTTTTGGCTTATATTTTATATGTGCATTGCCGATAGCATGATAAACCTTCCTCCAACTTTCAGTGAATAGAATGAGAGATGTTTATTTCGATGCCCCGTATGCATGGACTAGATCCCAGTCCATTACTCACGCCACCCTGGGTGATGCACTTCATACTACTATGGCTAATGTTGACATATTTTTTATCTTTACAGAGGACGAGAGCTCGGAGTGTGAACCGCTTGGATTTTTGTGTGCTAGTCACGGTCAGTGTATACCAGCAGAGGAACGGTGTATTGTGTTCCGCGAGCGACACCACGGCTGTGCTGACGGCTCCCACCTACTGAACTGCAGTAAGTTCTCGTCGACCGTATAAATCATTAGAAATACCAGAAGTGTCCATATAACTCCTAAACATAGATTAGGTACGAGGGGACTCCTCCTAGCAACTGGTCTGTTGTCTCGGAGGGAAATGGCAGTAACAGTAATCTGTTATGCTCTTGAGGAAGGACAATGTCTATCAAACGTGAAAAAAAACAAAATAGTCGGTTATTGAACAATAGTGTTAAAAATAGTCAGGGCACTTCCCCGGGGGATAACAATAATTCTTGGGAAAGGACACAAATATTAATATAAATCCTCGGAAGGTTATTAACAGTGTTGACATCCTTCCTGGAAGACAGCAATAATAATAATTTATAATCTCCCTAGGGTGAAGTTACATTTGCCTTAAGTCATTGGAGACAAGTAATGATAATGTTATCTCCCTCTCCCACGGAGTGATAGCACTGATCTGTTAGCCTCCCATTTCTCCCCTCGGTGGAAAGGTAAAAATAATGATAAAGTATCCTTTTACCCTCCTCTATTGATGAAATGGTGATCGTACTGGTCTTCTACCTCTTCAATTGTAAAGTAATAATACTGGTCGCCTCTCCCTCGGCAAAAAGCAGATAATTAAGTCAATAAATAGGCAGCGCCGCAGGCACGCTGACTGCCTTATATATACCAGCCAGATGGTGCTAGTAGTGGCCCATCTAGTGCAGGAGATTCAAAGATGAGAGCTACTTTAAATATTTTTTTTTAAGCAAATGTCCCTTTTCCTCAAGTTACTTGTTTTTCAAACCTATACATCAACATTTGGTCAATGCTTGGAAATGAATTTGAAATACTTGTGCAGAAAAAGGAGAAAACGTTCAATATATCGGCGACAGCGAGCAACTGAACCTGGAGGGTGTAATATTTAATGAATTTAATTTGTAAGTTAAGTTTTGTGGGTTTAAATTATTATTGTAAATGGGTATTGTATTTTTTTCTTGTGATTATCAATAATTTAGATATATAAACTGTTTTATTCATGTTTATTTAAATATCATGGAAATTAATTTGACCTGGTGAACAGAGAAAGGATAATGGGGATGAACTGAGAGGTGGAGGAGGTTAAGAGAGAGAGAGAGAGAGAGAGAGAGATATGGCTTGTTTATGGTTGAGGGAGGTGGGGTTTGTCTGTGGTCAACCACCCCCCACCAAAGGGTAACCGATTTGAGGGGAGGATGAGTGGAGAGGGAGACACGATGATAACTAGTGGGAGGGGGGGGAGGGTAGGAGTAACATGTAATAACTGAGACACTCGGGGAAACGGGTGATAGGTGTGTTGTCACTCAGGACTCAATGTATCACTGAATAACACCAAAGACAAGGATGACAATGTTTTACTCAACACCAAAAGGCGGGAATTTCTAACACTTCTTAAAGGTTCTTTGTTTATTGAACACCTTCTATTGACATTGACAATTAAACTTCAAAACAATAAACCTATTTTCCTAGCTAGTTAAAGAGGAGTTAAGTAAATCATAATGCATTTCGTGAAACGGATAAAACCTTAAGTGTCACAGCAGATGAATTACTGGCCATCATAAAAATGTCCAAAGATGCAGCAGCAGGCGAAGACAATATACCAATGAGCATCATTAAGAAAGTAGCCCACTTATTACTACCTGTTCTCCTACACATTTGTAACTCCTCCTTCACTAGTGGTGTCCTTCCTGATAAACTGAAAATTGCTACCCGGCATATAAAAAAATCTGGGGACAAAGGTCTCTTCAAGTCCTCCCAGCCTTGAGTAAGATCCGGGAAAAGCTAGCATGTAATAGACTAAATTCCTTCTGCAATGCCAATAACATCTTTACAAACTCCCAGTTTGGATTTAGAGCTAGAAGGTCGACTGAGAGTGCTCTGCTATCCTTTACTAATGGCAATTTAAATTCCTTTGATGACAGTCAGTTCACAATCGGTATATTCTTGGACCTCTCTAAATCCTTCGATACTGTCGACCATACCATCCTCCTTTCAAAGCTTGAACATTACGGAGTTAGGGGCCTGTCCCACAATTGGTTTACCTCATATCTGTCCAACAGGATGCAGTATGTCTGCTATAATACTCACCAATCTGACTCCTCGCCAGTTTTGTATGGCGTCCCTCAAGGATCCATTCTCGGTCCCCAACTTATTTTTTTACATAAACGACATAGTCCACGCCAGCTCACTCATAAAATACGACTTATTTGCAGACGATAGTAATCTCTATGCCAGCAACTCAGACCTCTATTCCTTGATGAGAACTTTGACACTGAATTAACTAAAGTCGGGACCTGGGTAATACGTAATAAACTGACCTTAAACCTTGAGAAAACCCACTACACGCTCTTTCACAGAAGGAAAAACTTACCCCCGGACTTGGACCCCCTGTACCTTGGTAATACAGTCCTCAAACGCGAACAAAATACTAAATTTCTCGGAGATATTGTTGATGAGAAACTTAACTGGAGAAACCACATACAAGCCATTCACAGTAAAGTCAATAAACAGTGCGGTATCGTGTATCACACTCGACAGTCACTCACTCTCACAGCAATGAAAGAAATCTATCATGATCTTGTTTACCAACACCTGATACGCTGTCACACACTATGGGGGGCCTCTGGCTCTTCAAAAACACAATCTCTGGTTACTGTACAAAAGAGAGTTGTACGGACAATGACCTGCTTCAAAAAAACAGATCACACAAACGAAAAATTTGCTACATTGAAAATTTTAAAATTCGAAGATATTAACACCTATTGCTGTGTCCTCTTTGTTTACAAATCTATCAATCACTTGCTTAACAATAATTATTTCCAGTTCCGAAATAATCAGAGATACAACTTAAGGCACCCAGAGCTACTAAGACCACCCCCTATGCGCTCCTCTCAGTTCCAGACCTCCATACAATATCATGGTGTGAAGGTGTGGAACAACTTACCCCCACCCATACGAGCAAAGACTACGCTCCCTTCCTTTAAATCATCTCTTAAAAAATATCTATTGTCTAAGTATTAATATTTCTTGTAACACCTACTATATTTACAGTACCTGCTTTTATTGTACCATCAAAACCGTTTTATCGGAAAATATCAAGTAAATAGATAAGTAATTTACCATTGGAATAAACATAATTGCCAACTAGACATAATCCTGACAGCTCTGTCCTCTTGTTCAACCTTATTACTGTACAACCCAGGTTGTACTGCTCCCCCATTATACTTATGTTTTCAATTCCACTGTAATTTATGTATATATAAATAAAAAAATAAAAAATTACAGAGGGATATTTTACAGTGGTGTCACGTGGCATCAATTTGGATGCTTTCAATCAAATCAGACCCTATTATTATTATTCTAAAGTTACAATTATGAATGAAATTTTCCAGTCAGTGGTATGACCCAGCTCCCTAACGTTTTTAAATAAAGCTGAATTGCCTTGGGTATATCTTGTAGCATTTCAATTTCCAGTTAACCAAGCAAATAAGTTTCTTTCTGTTTGACCACAAAACATTATAAAAACCACTACAAGGCATAGTGTATACACCAGGTTTGCCCTCATTTTTTATTTTGTGATGAAAATAATTTTTCTAACATAATTTGGAAAATGAGAACCATATTGGTTTGATTTTTGGGTGACTTATTTAACAGGGAGCTTTTGGGATAATTGTAAGGTATATTTGAAGGTTTTGGTGAAAGTGTTTATGAGTGATGAAAGATGATATACTGTAATAATTTGCTTCAGCCACACTCAACACCGCACCTAAGAAGGAACTTGGGTGTCTTAATTTTCTAAGTTGAATTTTGACTGTGCAAATTTCCTTATCCAGATAATGAGGGCTACAAATCCAGAGGATCCTCAGAAATATCCTAAAGGAACATTTATTTTCACTTGGATCGACTGGTGGCTAAAATAATGTAAATAACATCCTGAATGGTTGGGTTTTCTATAAACATTGAAACTTAATTTTCCAATATCCCCGTTAATAAAGACACCAAGGAAATGGAGTTACCACCACTTGACATTCCAGTTTGGATTTGATACTGAGGAGTAAACCAATTAACCAGTTATAGATATGATCAAAGGGCCCCATATCTGAAACAGCTCCTATCAGAGGGTTTAATCGGAGTTAGAAGGAAACTCTCAATATATTCAATATATAACGCGGCCAATACCGGGGATAAATTAGAACCCAAGATACATCCTGTTTTCTTTTTCAAAGTAATCTAATCTTGAAAAGAGAAAACATTAGATGAAAGACACAGCTTTATAAGAGCAAATATTTTCCATACTGGCGTAGGGAGTTTTTTTTAAACTTACATAATTTTGTTTCTAGAAATTATAAACATCATCTACAGAGATATTTATGGAGAGATACAACAACCAAACATAATAATTTTTCATGTTGACAGGTCAAATCTTGGAACTTAATTATTTATACAATGCTGCGAGAGTTCTGCTTGTGAATTGGAAAATCTACCTACGTAAGGGGATAGCAAACCAGTGAGCCATATAGCTATTTTACTAGAGAAGGAATCATTATTGGTATTAGTGGTACATCACCTTCATGAATTTTAGGGAGTCCACACAAATTTGGAAAGACAAAGCCTAATAGCTAAATATTTCAAAGAATTTCAGTCTCCTTGTTATTGGCCATGTTCCAAACTTCTTGTTAAATTTACCAAAACATTCTTGAGAGAGTTCTTGGTCATTTTATCAGTTGTCTCTGATTCAGGTAACACGTTAAAGAAATTCTTTATACACATATGTGGAGTAATAGATAATTAAATTTGTTCCTCCCTTAGTGACGATATGTCATTATTCTTCTTAAACTTCCACATAGCCATTTGATACCGTTTATGCAATACACTGTGATCTTTGAAGCCGTCCATTATATTTTGTATTAGAACACTTTATACGAAATAATTCACTATTATAATTGTTAGCCGCTAATCTAAAAATCTAAATCTACAATACAAGACATTATTCGTTCTGTAAAAATAAAAGCTCTTATATAAACTGGACAAATGAAAGTGGGTCTCATAGGCAAGATTGCTAGCTAGGGACATTTTTTATACAGCACAGTGTGCAATGTACCTTCGGTGCACACAAAAAAACAGTGTGACCGGAATTATAATTGAACAGCTTCACTTCTCAAACTTGTAAAGTCGGGCTCCCATTTTTAACTGGGTGTACTGGGGGTGCTCAGTAATCAAACAAGCGACCTCTAAGGCAAGAGGCGAGTGTTGCATCCAATAGTCGGCAGCACACCATAACTAGTGGCCAACAACTCTCTTTAAAAATCTAAAACATGACACAGTATATCATAGACTTTATAGTATAAACACACACACACACACACACACACACACACACACACAAGCGTGCGCACGCAATTGCGGGACCTACAACATGCAGGACCAAGATGCGATTTTTCACCACACACCAGCGTTATCAACCTGTGATCATTAGGGAAGTGGACAACTGAAATAAGTATACTTTACCTCCCTCCAAAAGTGAGACAGAAAGCTTTTGCACGTTTATTCATTTCAACCGACCGGAGCACACCCCTACAACCAGACCACCTCACCGAGTGGCCGAACATCACCCCCCCCCCCTCCCCAGCCTTCAAAAACTTCCTGGTACTCCATCGAATCATTCTTTACAGGACCGCTTTTTAGTGTAACTTATTATATAAAAAAGGCAGCACATAATTCGCTTTACCGAAAACATTTGTACATTGCAAAATGTTCTCTGTAAAGTGACTTGGGCATCACCCTATATATGAAAGCAAATAAAGGAATTTCCATATAATAATTTGATATTTGTCAGACGCAGTAACCAGTCACACTACAAACATTTTCGGTATTTATATTATACATTCAGTGAAGCCGAAAAAATCGTTAAATCAATGGAGGATGCACAATTTAATCGATATTTATAGATTAAATTGAAAATATACAGGGAAAAGGCAGTACCCCAACACAAGAGAATAGAGTCCTTTCCTTCAGCCGCAGGAGTGAGAGGGTGTCGGAATTTGAACCTAGCTGCCTCTGCTGTAATGAAATTAACGAGACCTGTTTTGTTTTCGTTTTCTAGCAAAGGAAAAGGTGTACATGTTGTTTGCACTAGATATTGGATATCCCCTATCAAATGAAAAAGGCTTGAAAGGGTGGAGAATCTCTCTATCTCGTGTGTGTGTGTGTGTGTGTGTGTTAGATAATGAGCCAAACTAGTATTATCATGGTCTGTCAGTTACATGCTGCTTCATCGCCTCACCCTGAATTTTCTTTGTTCTACAGAATCGTTGGAGTGTCCACCTGGGATGTACAAATGCCGCTCTGGCCCCTGCCTGGACGCCTCCAAGAAGTGTGACGGCAGCATTGACTGTCCCGAGACGTGGGATGACGAGGATTTCTGCCGTGAGTCTTATTCACTTATTTCTCTGTATAGGTTTCTAGCTAAACAGTGTTTGGTATCTTACCTACTCGGATTAAAGTAGTCTACGGCTCTCAAAAGACTCATTCAGAGTAATCAGATGCTTTGAAGCAACACAACGTCTAAAATGCGGGGTAGCCAGCGAACTTACCTATAAATATTTAATTTTCGAATATATGCACAGTACACCTTGGTAGGTTTGTCTCACGCAGATTTCTCACTATTCGGTCATTTATAATTATTTTTCCTTTTTTTTTAATACAAAAAAAAACAGACCAAACAGAACCGTTCGAAATTTTATCAATTACTGAAAAAAAAAGGAAAAAATATTATTCCACTGACCACAATAACACATTACTTAATTTGGGAATGGTTTCGTTAATAGTGGCCAGGATATTATAGCTTACAGAGTATAAATCATAAATCATGGTGAATAATGAATGAATAGTTAACAGTTTGAATACTAGAGAATAACCGTGGTGATGTTCCTGTGAAATACATTTAATGTAATAAAAAAATGTGATAATTACAACTATTTGTCAGGTCACATGTCATTTGACATAACTATCACAACCTAACCAATTGAGTTTATTATTACGATGATATCACGTCAGTCAGACTCTTTCCCATCATAAACACTTACGAAGTGTTTTTCAATACAAGTAAATATATCGTTTGATTTAGAAAATCTATAAATCTTTAATTTAAGACACTTATTTACATTTTGTTCAGCAGGTACATAAGATATTCTCCATCTTAAATATGTCAATATATATATTAGTAACTAGAAATTCCCTTTTAAAATTTAACGCCTTTATACATAACAAACATAACAAAGACTAAGCTGGCAATCATTTTCCTTTGTTGCAGCATTTCAGTGTTCCAGGCAGGTGCCAGAGTGTCGATGCCATCACCTCGAGGCTGACTGTTCCGGTCTCGGTCTCCAGCATTTTCCGGACATTGAGGACAATATTAACCGCTTGTAAGTATATGAGAGTCAGAGAGTGGGAGGTGGGGCACGACTAGTGATGGGAAAGGTAAAGAAGGTAGCGGAGCAAGGACAGTTAGTTGAAGGGCCAGATGTGGAAAATGGCAGAGCAGGTGAAGGAGGAACGATAAGATAGGTGTGAATAACTGGTAGGGTCTTGGAAAGGTGGGTGGCCGGACAACTTTTTTTTTCTACTGGTGGTTAATGAGGAAGGAAGGTAGTTAAACAGGTTTATAACATACTTGATCAGTAGACACCCGGTTGGAACAGGTGTTTAGACAGGTGACTACTGATGGCTAGAACAGTGGTTGGTGTTGTAGGGATAATAAGAGTTGGTTGGATAAGTGAGCATTATAAATCTGATGAACCCACAGAAACACAGATTTTATCGTATTTTGTCACTTCTCGACTTTTTTATGTTCAGATATTTTTCTTTCTCACTGAATTCACAACTCCGAGATGTTTGTTTAGCTTAAAAATATGAAACGAGGCTGTAAACTAGACTATCGAAAAGAAGCAATTAACATTCAAACAAGATTATTTTGTATAATTTTTAAACAGTTGATTTTAAAGTTGGGGCCAAAGTAGCACAACTGTACCCTGGATGTAACACGGATGTAAGTTAAATATCATATCCAGAGACAGAACTGCATACGTCAACTAATAATAGAGACATGACCAGCATGCCATAAAAAGATTTTGAAAAGTTTGGTTCCACTTTACCACAGGATGTAAATAACCAAAGTCTAGGAGATTTGTACAAGATTTTTTATAATGATACGAATCATTAATGTTGTAACCCAATGATGTGCTTGAAGTAATATTTAGGATTACGAGAAACGCCGAAATGCGGAGATGAGGAGGCAAGAGAAATACCAGGGTAGCAGACAAAGATTTTCAAATTGAAAATGGTAAAAAGAGTTAAAAGAGCACTTCAATAACAAGGTAAAATGAGAGGCTGAAAGACTCATATGATGAAAGGGATGGACATCCAAGAGTGCGAATGATGGGGAGTTCACAGGATAATTAAATGATATCATGGGAGCATCTTGTGGCTGATAGAAAAGGTGAGGATGTGTGAGGCAACAGTCATAAACCAGATAGTTATCTTGGTCTTTGTTTTGGTAAAAAATCTTACCAAAATATAGGTGTAACATTTGGTATATATATATATATATATATATATATATATATATATATATATATATATATATATATATATATATATATATATATATATATATATATATATATATATATATATATATATACGCTCCCGACAGCAGGTAATCGGGGTCTCGGTTTGGGAGTTTGGATGGCTTCAACTAAACCTCACCGGAAAATCATAGAGTACATACATTACAGGAATGTTTGCATTAGCAAGGACACACACACACACACACACACACACACACACACACACACACACACACACACACACACACACACACACACACACACAAGTACCAATTGTGATTTATTTTATGCTTCCCTTGCAGTAATTTCGCTGACAACAACTTAAATGTGACCCTCCAAGACAGACCCATCCAAGGCCACGACAGCATCGTGTACCTGTGAGTACATCTTTTAGACTTTAGAGTAACTCTCCATTAATAATATATATATATATATATATATATATATATATATATATATATATATATATATATATATATATATATATATATATATATGCCCTTGGTAAGAAAACGTTTCAGTAAAGCCCATCATCCCTCAGCACCTCTATCCACCCTCCTCCCTCTTCTCCCTCACCATCACTAATTCCATCTCTCCTCCATCAACACAACAACAATGACCATACCGCTACTCCCTCAGCTTCACTCGCCACGCCCCTCTTCCCTCATCCTCATGAACTAAATCAGTTTTCCTCCCCGGCAGCGACCTTTCGAGAAACCACATCCAACACATTATGAATGGAACATTTAAGCATCTGTGGCGCCTCCGCATCCTCATTCTGAGTGAGAACAACCTCACTAGTCTGGTGCAGGGAGCCTTTCATGGCCTTCACAACCTCAGGTCACTGTGAGTACTTTCTCTAATTGCCTCTAAAACATAAAGGCATTACAAGTTCATTCTCTTCTTACTTCCTCAGCCTAAGGATATTCAGAGTACCCCGTTGTAGTTACTTCACTGCTTCAGTATGTAATGTGGAGCTCCTTATTACAATGTTTAGAACTGTCCCAAACTTTAAACCTAAATGGTTATTATAAGATCTAAAACAATCACCATATCACATTTAGAAGGGACAAAGACGACTTCGGTAAAATATCAATACCGGTATATTCTTCGTCAACGTGTCACTCTGAAAATAACTATCAGGTGATATATTGTGCAAACTTTCGAGCAATTAATTTTCTACGATTTCCTATTATAATTGATCAAACATTCACAAAATATCATTAATAATATCTCCAATCATTTCATGCATAGTTATTAAGTTATAATTTATATTTTTTAGTTATATGGGAGTCTACAGTACCTTTTGATGGCACTGGTTAGGCTAACTAGTCATAATGTTATCTTAACATATGAAGAATCGTACACAGGAGAGACGGCAGCATGTCTGATCACTTCTGAGCAACAATTTAAATTCAGCCATGGGCTGGCAAACTTCACAGTGACAAGATTTACATAACTGTTCAGGGATTATATTGGAATGTTATGTAATCAAAGGTAAAGTCTATGTGGTTTATAACATCAGCAAAAAATATAAAATCACATGTATCAGTTGTTGTTATCTATTGCACTAAATCATCATAAGCATCACTGTATTAAATCTAACTAAAGGTAGTAAAGTTTATTTGAACGCTCATACTTCTAAAACAGGATTAAACAAGACTAGATGTAATTAATACAGTTTATATAATAAAACTGAATAAAGTAGTTGCAAGACCGAGTCTTCGTATTAATGTAACGGTAAACTGTCCTGGCTGGAGCTGTACCCCTTTAAGCGAGTTGATGAGAGCGATTAATTCTCAAATAATCATAAATGTGGTGTACGCACACTAACATTCTTGCACTTGTACCACACAGAGTCCCCCACTAATCTCTTCCCGCCTCTTATATTTATCAAATACCATTTCAGGCATCTCGGTGGTAACCAGATTGCTTCACTCAAACCACTTGCCTTCTATGGCCTGGGAGCTCTTCCAACACTGTAAGTACTATTCCTAACGTAAAGTTTGTGTTAATCCTCATTTTTTTTCATGTAACAGTTGACTAAACTGCAAAAAGCTGTAACTGTCATAGCACAGACAAAAACATCGTAGTAATAGGAAGAAGACACACGGAGAGTGTGAAGATTACTGATATTCCCTCAACAACGACGCTTACCAAGATAGGATCATTAGTCCCCCAAGCAGTCATTGATATTTCCAATAGCCTAGATGCTTACACCTTGTTTAGTTTCCACACTGTTGGTGTTCTCCGGATGTTTTTTATTTATTTTGTTTCTTGGAGGGGAGGGTGAAGGAGTTTCCAGACAACTTTGCCGCCGATTTCTGGTTTGATGCCCAGACAATTTATTTTTTCCCAGAGCCCATAACTAATAGCGACCTAACACTTTACATGTTTTTAGCTACATAAAGCATGATGTTAATGAAATTATAATATACGAATTTAATGCAAATATGAAAAGTTTTACAAGATAATGTTCCTCTGACGAATAAAATTTAACTTTTTATTGGCTTGTACAGTCTCGTTCAAAATTTTTCGAACACTGCTGGAGACAGCTGGCAACTCAAGGCCAGCATAATATAATACGAAACAACAAAGCCCAACCATTAAATTAAGCAACGGGTAACGAAGTAACCAATCACCGATCACTTTTACATTTATTCATAATTTTTACTACGTACTTTAATAAACCAACGGCTTTGAGTTGCCAGCTGTCTCCAGCAGTATTCGAAGAATCTTGAACGAGACTGTACATTACTCAATCTTTGGATATTGTTCAAATTGATGCAAACCAGCACTCACACCGTCTCTCGCCCACAGTGACCTTAGCCACCAGCGTCTCGTCTATATCTCTCCCCAAGCATTTGTTGGTCTTCGCAGCCTCACCACACTGTAAGTTATTACGTATTGCTATCTTCTCTCTCTCTGTTTTGAATTTATATACAGTATCCGCACACACACACACACACACACACACACACATTATATATATATATATATATATATATATATATATATATATATATATATATATATATATATATATATATATATATATATATATATATGAAATTATCTGTGCATGCGCGTGTGTGTGTGTGTGCGTGTGTGTGTGTGTGTGTGTGTGTGTGTGTGTGTCCAGGCGTAATATAAAACACTAACCATCATCTTCTGTTCGGCCTTACAGGACACTCTCCTACAACTTCATAACTCTCCTGGATGAGTCGACCTTCACTGGCCTACGTAACCTGAAGAAACTGTAAGATATTTGGCAGCCTCACTTCTTTATCACAATTTTATACAGAAGAAAGTTAAAAAATTTAATTTCAAACAGTTTTATGCACTTTCATCAGTTTGAAGCCCTGATTTTATATCAAAGTTTCGCCTTGAAGGTAATCCTTCCTATCCAATTTTCAGCTCGTGAAATAACGTTAAAAAATTAAAAGAATTTTTCATGCTGTCAAGAGATATTATGGTAGAAGTTGTGCTAATGGATAATTTATAATAATAATAATAATAATAATAATAATAATAATAATAATAATAATAATAATAATAATAATAATAATAACAATAATAATAATAATATTAATATTAATATTAAAAATAATAATAATAATAATAATAATAATAATAATAATAATAATAATAATAATAATAATAATAAAAAGATGGATCAATAAACATATATGTTATGGGAGCTTCCTTTAATCTTTAATAATGTTAATAAATGAAAAAATAAGAGACATACAAACATGTAATTTGTACAATACCACCTTGTAGCCCAACTCTAAAAAAAAAAAAAATCTTCATGCCAACAAACTATAATAATTATGTGCAACGTGTCAACAAACACACTAATCATGGCATCCGTTATCCGGGTCCTTAGTTCCGTAGTATTCGCTACTGATGTCCAATACAAGCATATAAAAAAACCTTTTCGTAATAACAAACTTCATTACCAGTTGGGCTATAAGATGGTACAAACCTTAACTTTCTATCCCTTAGACCTTCCATAATCTTAAACTTCCGTCTTCTTAACCTTCCATCTCCTCACCCATCTACGACCTCAACCTTCCATCTTAACCATCCATCACTTAAGCCATTCATCCCCTCAACCTTCCAGCACAGTTACCTTCAATCATCTAAAGTTTTCACCATCCTTTCAACCATCCACAATCCTTACAACAACTCAACACACCATACAGTATAATCATCGAGCTACTGTATATCAACACTAAGCTGATTTTTTGTCTTTACCCTACAGGAACCTGGAACACAACGCTCTTGAGACTCTGAATGATAAAATGTTTCACCACATACCCAGACTCCACCATCTGTGAGTACAATGTTCTTCCTATAGCCCACCTCCACCATCTGCCAGAACAACCCTACCGTGCCCAAACACCACCTTTACTTATAGACCAAACCTTTATTTACCTACACATCCATTCCACCACCTTCAACAGTAATATAACCTCTAATATATTGTAACATTTAATTAATAACTTACTCTACACATGTCCCTTAGCGTTCTTGAAACACCTGAATTTTCGCTCCCCTTAGGCTATTTCACCTGAAAATAATCACCTTAATGTTAACCTAATTAACTGTATCCTAACCTAACCTATCCCCCCAAGGCTGCATTAAGGTGGTTAATCTTTAGGTGTAATAAACTGGGGATGCGAATTTTTAGGTGATCCCCATTCTTCACGTATCAGTCTACCTCTTTTCAACTTAACGTCCTTCTTTACTCAACAATTCAAACATGATATCTCCACCTCTCTCTCTTAACTGCAATATTCACCAAGTGCTCGACATTTTCTCCCCATCTTTACATTTCGTTTATTTTCCCCAAAACATATCCCCGTATTCTCGCTGACTTTAATATTAATTTGTCCTCTGGCTTTCTCAACTTATTAAATTTACACGAAAACGTTTTATTATTTTATACCTTCATGCCTTATAGATGCGGGAAAGGGACCGACGTGAGAGAACCTAAAGCTAACTAGAGTATAGTTGCTTTTAGATATTCAAATAAAATTATGACCCACATATATCGTGTTTAGGCGGTTCCCATGACAACCACTGCCAGTGCTACCTGACTTAGGAATGCTTCAAACTTATTTAACTGATGCGCCAGGGCACAGGAAATAGTAATATGTGAGCGTTCTGGTAATGCACGGCTATGCAGCAGCATTTTAATAATCCCGCGCAATTTCAACACACGTATTTATGGTAAGACTATTTCAATTGCAAACAGTGTTAGTGAAACTACAATTGAGATAATTTCAAACTCACGTGGTTTCCAACATGACTTTTTAAATTCACAATGCACCACCACATTTCAGCCTATTTTAACCCCCCCCCCCCAAAAAAAAATTAATACCAATAATAATAATAATAATAATAATAATAATAATAAATCGGTTCTAAATATAATTATGCATCTTTTTACTTGCGTCACGCAGGTCACCTCGTCCTGGAACCTGCATCTTGTTTTATTTGTTCACTATATTGTAAAATCAGTTTATCCAAATGCCACATACACAAACCCACACATATTTTATATATATATATATATATATATATATATATATATATATATATATATATATATATATATATATATATATATATATATATATATATATATATGTGAGCTAATTACTCCCCTCATGGAGCTCCCTCACAGGGACAATTATTTCTCATTTAGAGTCTACTGTCAGTTTATCTACAAACTCTCCATGGTCCCCTCTGCAGGGAGATGGACGAGTGGCGTCTGTGTTGTCTAGCTCGTCACGTCGAAAAGTGTTTACCTGAAGCCGACGAGTTCTCTTCATGCGAGGACCTCATGTCTAACCTGGTGTTGCGGGTGTGCATCTGGATACTTGGCTTCATAGCTCTCCTCGGCAACTCTTTTGTCATCATCTGGAGGAGCATCTACTCTAGTGGCAATAAGGTGACCTTTCTCAGTTGTTGAAACTTTCTGAACTCACACAACTTATCCTGGCAGTGGCATCACGGGGGAGGATAATGGCCATACATACGTGAAGGACCCTGATCGTTGTTACTCGTGGGTGAAGGGCCATGTTGGTGGTCTCACATAGGCGAGAGACGTGGGTGACCTCTACAACACACACAGTCCCTCCCAAAGAGGATTAACCTCCCAATCGTGTAACATTTACAACAGGGCTAAACTTCTCCGAAATTCATGATTCCTCTAATAGGGTTGACTCCCCCGCCCTCCAGCAGATATGACCTCCCATTGTAAGTGACGTCTCAAACACACCTAATCCCTCCAACAAATCTAACTTCTCTCACACGAATGATATCTCCAACACAGGTGACAACTCCGACGCCTTTAACTTCTCCAACATAAGCTAACCAGTCTATCAAATTATGACATTAACGCCAACACATGCAAACATTGCAAGAAATAATTATGATCTCTCTTAGTGGAGTTGGACTCCCATTGACATAGTTAACCTTTAACAAGGTGTATCGACCTCTCCACCAGATGCACTCATTCCTCATCGTGAACCTGGGCGTGGGTGACTTTCTGATGGGGGTGTACCTGATAATCGTGGCAGTCGTGGATCTACAGTACCGAGGAGTGTATGCTGCTTACGAGCTCGCCTGGAGGACCTCTTCTCTCTGTCGACTGGCCGGCTTCATAAGCACTTTCTCTTCCGAGCTCTCAGTCTTCACTTTAACAGGTAGGTAAATGCTATATGTCAAATTAGAGGTCGGATGTTTACATGATACTGCAAACCAACTAAGAATCTAAATTTGTACTAAATATTGCTGTCATATTATAAGCTGTATGTTTACTTGACATTGTAGAGTTTGTTAGGAACAGACCGTTTACTTCCTGCTGTGCTCGGGGTTTTACTAAATGCTTAACGTTGGCTGATACTGATGCAGCAGTAGCCACAGCAACGGGAAGAGGTTTATCTGGGGTTAAAGCCATGGCAAGAGGTAACTTAAGGACCAAATATTTTAACACTACCGAAGGGACGCAGTGGAAGCTAAATTCTTACCTGCCCAAGCTATGTTAGCATCTGCACTTACCTTCAAGATATGTTGATTTACTTCATAAAATTATAACAAGTGCACAATATACTATGAGGCTGAGCGTAGTGGAATCTCAAGGAGCACTTTCCTTTTGTCTACACAAGGTCAAGACAATATATTTCCATAAAAATATTCCATCAATGTCATGAGTTTACTGGGAAGCGGAATACTAATTTATCATCTTAATCAATGAATAGCGTGAACTTCTCAACTCTAATTGACCAATTTGAGATATATAATATAATATACTTTTTATCCGCAATATCAAACTAGGTGATGCCGTCCCTCACATTTAAGCAACTAGTCACTATCCTTCAATAAGTAATATAGTCACCAGCCTTCATAAGTTACTGTATAACGTCATCCTCCCTCATATACGTAAAAGCAGTTACCGTTTCTCACGAAACTGACCGTATAGTTACTACCCTTCGATAATAATACATAATTGTTATCCCTCACGCATTACCACATATTGTAACTATATCTCCAGTAATAACATATTATTAAAACTGTGTCCATTCTATCACATAAGCATACACCCACCTAAGTCACTATTATAGAAGTAAGAACATGCACAGTCACCAATATGCATGCAGTATAACGCACAATTACTATTGCACTGTAACCTACACACGCAGGTGGTTCAAGGTTTGAGTATAGCAATCAACTCAATTTAAAAGAGTATAGTAAAAACGACAACGAAAATAGTGGTTTGTTGTGTGAAAGATGTTGAAAGAATCATTTGCTTTGCAAGTCACAAGACTGCTTAATAAAATAAGTTTTCCCTTGTACTAAATTATATATATATATATATATATTTATTAGTATATATATATATATATATATATATATATATATATATATATATATATATATATATATATATATATATATATATTAGTATATATTTTTTTCTGTTACTCCTGCTCTGAATGTGTCTTCACCAGTCATCACCGTGGACCGACTAATCGTCATAAAGTTTCCCTTCGGTGTGCGGCGGGTGAAGGGTAGCGTAACGCGCTCGGTAATGGCTGCTGTTTGGGTGTTGGTGGGGTTCCTGTCCGCACTCCCTCTAACACATCTCGAGTACTTCAATAATTTCTACGGTCGTTCGGGTGTCTGCCTGGCGTTACACATCACTAATGAGAAGCCTAACGGATGGGAGTACGCCGTCTTCATCTTTCTTGGTAAGTCATTACTAACTTTCCCACACAACAGGTAGTTATGTGATGAGTTTCACTGTGTTAATTTACCTTTTTCTTTGGCAATCGTTAGAATGTTGAGGTATCATTCCGCTTTTCCCTGAAGTGGTAATAATCAAGATTTTGTCTCATGGTTGCAGGATTAAGGAAATATAATTCGTCTCATATGAATATGATAATTTCAACATTATTAATAGTAGTAGAGAGTTAATGTTGAATAAAACTTAATATCAAAATGACACGGGTATTGACAAGGCTCGTCTTACAGTACTCCACACTAAAGACAAGTAAAACCGAGACCTTTGATTATGAATGACGTGACAATAGAGGGCACACTGGAATGAGTCTAGCTTCTTTCGTCTCCATCAATCTAATTATGGCACAGGTAGTATGGGAAGGATGGAGAAGATAGAAAGAAACAGAGAAGGAGGAGGTTGAGAAACATCTCTATATTTGTTGGGTCTCTTTATTTGCTCACCTCATCTCAATCTTCATTATTTCTCTTTTGCTCCGTATTCTTCTCTCATTTTTGGTCAACGTTTCTGCAAGCTTGGTAACTATTAACGAAAATAACGGAATTGATGAAATTCTTAACCAAATTATCCACATATATAGTCAATGCGCTTAATCATATCTTATACAGTTATAACCAGTTCAGGTTGTCATCCAGATTTATAACTTTTCCCAAAAAATTATTTTCCGCGGTCAATATAGCCAAAACATATTTGGTGGGGCAAAGAGTAATGTTTATAAGGTAACTTCCTGGTGATGTTGCAATATATGTTCAACAATGGTAAATTTTCCGGAATTGAAGACACTTTTTTTTTTCAAGGTTTAAGCTTAGTCTTCACTGTGTTTTTAGTAATATTTTACTTCTCCATAAAACAGAGTGATCTCTACAAAGAAATGTTTTAAAAGATATTATGAGAATTACTCAGAACTTCTGATTAAATGCTTCAATTTCTCGATTTAATCCTGGATAATCCACCGTCGTTCTGGGAATTACCTTCTTTAAATTTTTAGTCATGGCCACTAAACGTTTTCCAAACCAACACTCCCAAATCTTGAAATAATGGATGTACTTTACAGTTCTAAACTTGTTGTCATTCGGGGTGATCGCCGTGAGTTACGTGTTCATGTACGTGGCGGCAAGGGACACACACACAGCAGCAAGGACGAGCACTGAAACCCGTGGAAGTGATGGAGGCATGGCGAAGAGAATGACAATGATCGTGGCTACGGACGCTGCTTGTTGGCTCCCCATCATCTTCCTGGGTATTGCTTCCCTCTGTGGAATCACCATCCCACCGAAGGTAATAATAACCTTGTTTGGCATGGATAGGCAATGCAAATGTGATGACCCCTGTACTTGCAAGCAACGTGTCACGATAAACTAGCAAGTTTTCTTTGAACCAAACCAAACCGACATTGTTCAATAACGCGAAAAGCTAAGTATTAGGTTGGCATAAACACAAATTAGGAACTTGGAATGAGAGGACAATCTTAAGGTGGAATGTATAGCATTGGAATTAAGTGAGGTAAGGTGAACTTGTTCAAATAATATTAGTAGAGATGATTGTCACTATTCATATTCTGATTGAGTAAGCGACTGACAACGCCCAAATTACACAATAAAAATATTACTAATTCTTTTATTTTCATCGTCCACCTTTTCCTTACACCTGTGAGTCTTTCATAAGTTGTCCTGTTACTACTACTTCATCGGTTCACCTTTTTATGCTGTTAATAGTGTGATGATATGAAAAATGTTGTTCGTAATTGTCTTAATTTCTAGCATGGAGTAATCTGGACTTTGGTTTTCTCCACTATAGGTGTTTTCGTGGATAGCGGTATTTGTTTTGCCACTGAATGCTGCAATCAACCCAGTGTTGTTCACGCTCTCGACAGCACCGGTTAGGAAGAGACTTAACTACCTGCGGCAGGGTGTTACCAGCAAACACAAGAGATCAGCATCAGCAGTATCAGGTCAGCAACTGCAACTACACCTTTACCTCCGCATAAGGCCGGCATGGATAGTTTAATGTTTACAGCTACCATATTCCTCTACCTCTTCACCAGGCAAACCTCACACCTTCACCAGAAACTCTTCCGCGCTATTTTAAACGAGTAGGCTAGTTTCTTTAAATATCAGATTATACATAACAAAGAAAGAAGTGGTTTGTCGAGGTGTGGTAACGTGGAATCACCTGGGGTGTTTAGGTGTGATGACTTGTTGAATTTTCGAGAAAAAAATCTTGACACTATCGCTATTCAGCGTGTCGTACAACCACACGCACCTCCCTCCACTCACTCCTAATCCCGAAAATACAGCCCCCACACCCTTACAAATATCCAACCAATCACCCCAAATAACCACATACACACACACACACACCATGTGGGTAGATTATATAAACGTAGGGCATCTCGGAAGATGAGCTGGACAATCTCCCACGTTAGGTGACTCGTACTGTCCCACGAAGCAACTTATTCAGCTAAGCAACTTATTCAGCTGAGAGAAACCCCTGCCCATGAAAGGGTTAAAAGCAGGAGAACACCAATAAAATTAGTAGAGCCATCGATATCATGACAAAAGGAAGGGCACAAATTAATAAAGGTTTTCCAATTATTTCCAATATTTGTGGAAATTACTCTAAGTTGGAAATGGTGCAATTACCCTACTTTTAATTTTACAGAAGAGATACTTAAAACTAAACTTTGTAACTGGCAGATTGCATCGTAGGATCATTATTCAACGTGTACATGAATATTATATATATATATATATATATATATATATATATATATATATATATATATATATATATATATATATATATATATATATATATATATATATATATATAAATATAAGAGAGAGAAACATTGCCATCACATGTACCGATGATAAAGTATACCATATACTATATTTTATCATTACTACACGTGATGCCACTGTTTTGTCATCTACTGTATATAATGCAATGGATTTGAGTAAGCTGTTATAACCTAAGCATAATAAAGACGTGTTACTCCTGGCAGGGTCCCGTCTGGCGTCTTCATACAAGACCCGCATGGCGACAGACGTGACGGATATTGCCCAACAGGGTGACAATGATCTTCGAATACTAAACGTCACCCATAAGTCTCCTCTCGGGGACAGAAAGGTGGCCATCAACGGTTCGGAAGATTCTCTGCCACCCACACTAAATGGTGATGAGAGTATCCAAGCACCTCAGTATCCACAGAAATCTTTGTCATCAGAAGTTTTTCAAGAGGAAACTGATTCTGGGGCATTGGAGCTGGTGCCCCTGAAAGAGCTCACTACCACCACTCCTGGCACCAAAAAGGCGTTAAGTCGTAAACACAATCGAAAGAAGAATCCCTCCGACAACCGTTACGATTAAAAGTTACAAAGTTTCTATTTGCTTAAAGAAAATTAAGCAATAACCATTTTCTATTAGGTACATTTACTATGTACTGAAGAATGTATATTCTTTATTTTATGAGTACTCTATACACCATATTATTCATCGCACATACCTTTCATTTAACCTTACCAAAAGCCGATTTTCGAAGTTTTTGTTATTTATATGCTTTTGGGGGTAGAATGGCCATGCGACTGAAGGTAAAGAACACAAAATAAATGCCCTTCTTTTTTTTTAGGCCGAGGTACACACATTTTTTCTAAATCATATATGCCCTCAGATATCAAAGATTTAACAAGAGAAACGTGCTCCAAAGGAAATATGCAAAGAAACTCATTAGACATGGAGAGTCATTCAGTAGGTGATGCGTTTCTTTCAAATTTTAAAAGCATAAACAGAGCTGGTTGATATTGCAGATTATTTTAATAAATACTTTATTAACGTTGGTAAAATTTGTAATAGGTAATATTGAAGCGGGAGATAAAAATTTTCACTTACTTTCAAAAATGAAAGAATCTTTATCACAACATCTACTGTAATAATGTTCCAATATGTAGATGGGTTCGAAAGTGCCCTGAAAAAGCATTTTCTGAGTATTCAAATCAAGCACAATTTTAGGAATGCTATCTCTCAAAAGGCTCATCCATTCTTGTCTTCACTAATGTATATGATGGCCAAATTAAATAGGTATATTTCAATAACTGTTACAAACTAATAGATCTCACTGTTGATACAATTAAACTCAAGATCTGATATTATTGTATTATTATTTTGTGTGCAGTATACTTGTATATTTTTATGTACCTTTGTCCATACAGTCTCCAATTAAGAAATAAATATTAAACAGACACATTATTACTTTGTTGTATTTATGTATGTTCTTATATAAAAATACTCGGATATTGGTTTAATTTATTTCTACCTTATCACCCCGCCACTTTCCAGTAACCTGAAACAATCACTACGTAAACTCGCCCAAAAAAGTTCTCGAACGCTCTAAGAGTCATACAATATGACAAAACGAACGAAAAATCTGATGAAGTTTTATTTAATTACAACTTTTCACCTGTAAATACCATACACATTAGTAACATATATCAATAAGAAATAAGGAGTCACTTCGCAACCAGGCATACCAGCCATTCTGAGATGACACGAGCCATCGTGCTTATTTTGAAATCTGTCATGCTCAGCTGTTCGAGAACTTTTTTGTGACGAGCGTACTTCCACTCATTGCGGTCTTCCACCACTGGGAGTATTTTTCCTCACACATCCGCCCGATACTGCGTCCCACAAAGAAAATAATGTATATGATATGAACAATATATTCGGGACCTGAAAACTAGTGAAGTGTGAAAATAACTAAGGAAAGGTGACACTTACATCTCACAAAACGTTAATTACAATCAAAAGGTTCTTACTTTGTTCAGCATCTGCTACATGGAGTTCTTTATACCAAAATAAGAAAAAAAGTTTAAATATGAGCGTCAACTTTTCTTTAGGAAACCATACATTTGAATCGTTTTCTTCTATTGCCGATGTAAAAGAAAATAGTAATATTTTCATTAATTCATTATTTGGGGGGTAGACCATTATTAGATGGGACCTGGTCTTTTATCCAAAAATAATTCATAAAATAATGTTATTCTACAAAACTTCATAATTTTGTTGAATATAAATTTTTAAGAATAATTCCAAAACCTTGTAAAGCTACCGTAAATTCTTTAAAAATAATTATGCACTGACAGGATATTACTAAGACTAATTGTACATCGCAGGTTTTCTCTACATTCTCTAGTTTAATTCTTTGTTAACACTAGGCAATGAATGTTACAAAAGGCATTTCATCTAAAACAAGCAAAGGAGTGATGACAATAATACAGTAAATGAGACGAGAGATAATAAAAGGCTGACCAGTCTTTTAGTAGTACTTAAAATTACTTCGTTTTCTCTAGTACATACATATTATGATAGAAAACGTTTATCATGCAGGTACAGTAGCAACTAGAGGGCCAAGCCATTTATCCTAAGTTTTCCCTTCACCTTATACGACACTGCCATTTCGAGAAAAGTAATGTGTGCGCCAAGAATATTTTTTATCTGAATTAAAAAATCATTACTGTATCGCTTTGTTGCTTCTCTCCTACAAGATAATATTCTATGTGGCCCTGACGCCGACGTTATTTACATATTTACCGTTCAACTTTGACCATTATGTCAAAATTCACCTTCATCGAGAAACAGTAAAGTTTTTTTCGATGACTTCTGATCAGAAAAATAAAAAATCATGAGGGATACATCATACCTCCAGGACCAGGACTAAATAACCTTAAATTAAAGGGCAAATATTGTGACAGCAAAATGAATAAAATAGAACGGAAAGGAGAAGCTGAATAAACAAAGGCGAAAATTATACAAGAAAAAATGTAGATGAAAAGAGAAAATTATGTGCGAAAAGCATTCATAAATGAAAACAATATGAAGAAGGTGCACAAGAGAAAACGCAAAGGAAAAGTGAAAATTCTGGGAAATATGGACGAAAAAAATACGAGAATTAATAATTAAGGCAAGAATTTTACAGAAAAAAATGGATGAAATACACAGGAACAATGGAAATTGTAATAAACCTTCATAGTTTCCATGTAGACATCACGTCTACAAGGAAACCATGAATTGTGATGTGAAAGGTTTCTCCCACAATGATTAAGAATGAAGAATAAGAGCACATGTACCGTACAATGATAATCACGATCAGTTTCTTGACTGGGTTAGATCTCATATGGCACTGCCCCCTTCACTCGTGCCTTTACAAGGGCCTTGTCATATAAACATTCCACAAATCGTTACATTGAGTCTGTCGAATGTAAACAAACACAGGGCTGCCACAATGCACAAAACCTGATGAGTCCCTGTAAACGCATTTCCTAATGATGGGTACCGTACATAAAACATCCCTCACGTGAACGACATCCATCTTACAGTCAGTGGAATTTTATGTGTTCAATTACCTGCGCGCGCGCGCGCCCACACACACACACACACACACACACACACACACACACACACGAACTGACCACGGTCATACATGTTAGTTCACGTAAAATCAGACGATTCATATTACGTTGAATAACCCATAAAACATGTGGTTGTAACTTCTTTATTGAGTTCCCCAGTTGAGCGTCCATTTTCTTATTACTTCAGGACGCCTGAGGTCTCCGTTTTCTTTCAATCATGTACCTCCGAGACTCTGCTATTTCTTAATACCTTACACTCTCAACTTGATTAATGAAAAACACGAAGTCACAGTGACTGGATTGCTCTGCCAGCTACCTAAAGAACACCCCACATACTGTCTGGTGGTTTGATGGCAGCGACCTTAAGTTAAGAAGTAAGTTAAGTACCCCCTAAGGATTACTGACCACACAAAAGGGCAGTATACCAGCGGAAATCATTACTCCTACCAAAATGTATATGCCTGCTAAATGCGTGCTTCCCTGCCCAAATTATGTCCCTGTCATTATTATTCCGACGCCAAAAGTATTTGCCGCTTAAAAGTCTATTTTTTCACCAAATTGATATTTACCCAAAATTCTACAAGATTTTATCGCTGTGATGGTATTATTGCCGCTAAATGGTGTCATACGTGAGAAAAGAAAATGTGTCACATCTGAATGAGTAGGTACATAGTCAGATATGAAAGGGGCAGATTCACATGTATGTGAGAAGGGGCAATGTCTTACGTGACAGAGAAGAGTCACAGCAGTAAAAGCCGTCAATGGTGTCACCCTTGAGATGAAAAATGGTACATCAGTGTCACCCTTGACAAAGAGAAAGCATACATCCAAAGAGTGCAATCAACTTGTATTTTTCTTAAGAGGAAATTGTAACGCGACCAGAAGGGTTAGAATTTTCATCAGCGAATGGATCAATTAATTAAGCTCCACCCACTTTTGGCGTCCTTAGCAACCATTACGATTCAGAGAATTTGAGTGGTTGTTGGTTACTAAAGAAACAACCTGACACAGCGGTAAGGTTATGGCCACTTTTGTATGTCCACTGTCTTTTATAAAGAATTTTTTTTTCAGCTGAGAGATATGTTTTAACGTGAAGAAACGCCACTGAATAGAAAGTAATGCCCACCAATTAGACAAATGTGGCATCGTTGACACACTTAGCATGCAACATCCAATTAACTTCTAAAAACTGTAATAATTGCCAGGGTCGTCAAAACTGGGTGGAGCTTAGTTGACAGGTCAATTTAGGCGAGCTGTATAAACCCTAACAGGATTCCTTCTTCCATTCGCCCCCTCACCTTCCCCAAGGATCCTCTTACCGTGAGAACTTAATTAAAAACTGAATCAACTAAATGATGAAACCTGCATACAAAGTAGCTTTGTGCTCGAGTGAGGTGCCAACTAATGGTAGGTGGAACCATTTTCAGACGATAAATTTCATCTTATAACTCCGTGAAATAAGCATGGTAGCTTATTTTATTTTTTCTTACGTCATATACAGAAAGTATATGATACGTAGGCGAAGTCATATCCACAAATGATCTGTGTGCCAAATTTAACCCAAACCCTGAACCAGACCCTAATATTCATAATAAAGAAAAGTATTGGTTAAGTTAAATATGAATAAGTTGAAGATTGGTTAAGTTATGTTAGGTTACTTAAAGGTAGGTGAGGTTACCTTAAAATCAGTTCAGGATAGAATAGGTACTTATAGTTTGGCTTGAACTGGGTAATGAGGTTTGATTCGTTTAAAAATAGTCTAGGTTCGGTTATGTTAGATTAGGTTGCGAGCAGTTAATGTTAAGTTAGGTTAGGTTTGGTAGCAAGCAAATTATGTTAAGCTATCTTAGACTGGATTAGGTCAAATTACGAACAGATTGGTTTATATTAAGATTCCAGCAAGGAGAAGTTATGTTCTTGGTGAAGTAGAGATTCCCCAACAGATGTGTTCACCATGACAGGGGGGGAAGCACAGACGGTATGTTATAATTATATATGAATTGCATAACTAAACAGATAAAAAAACATCCAGCCTTTCTTGTCGAGGACTGAAACACATAATCATATGGACAGTGAAGACTACATTATTATCCGCATGAACGACAAAAATCAAAATGACGGGATATAAGACAGAGTAAAGGGGAGAAACTTTAAGGCTACTTTGTGCTGTCAGGCGCGTCGACCGTCCAAGTCCATTAACAGATCGAAGAAAGTTTTTGAAAGCTTCTCAACACCAGAGAGTAACATCTGAGCACGTGTGTCTTTCTTAGTGAATGTCGATCTTTTCGCACTTTAAATATTTTTTTCCAACTGGCGCGAATGATCGAAAATTAAGAACATAATTAAATTCCTACATGCTTCTCGTTTATTACCTTCCTAACCAGTGTATCCGGTCCGTATCACTATGATATACTCAAACTTCAATACGGCCTTATCTTTTCTATCTAGTTTATCACTGTTACCTCACAAAACCAACCTTACCCCAAGCCCCATCAACACGTCCATCCATACAACACTCGAAGCTTCGGTAACAAAAATTAATAATAATAATAATAATGATGATAATAATAATAATAATAATAATAATAATAATAATAAGTAATCAACTGCTAACGTGGGGTTTGATTCACAAGAGCTTGGTGGTGTTAGTGTCGACCATGAAACAAGTGTAGAGTGTGAGAACAATTTGTTATTGGTGGTCTCTGGTGCACACTATATCGCAAACTAACTGACGCTCCTCCACCAAAGTGCACTAAAGGGAAATCTGGTGTGTGATGTATGTGTTCCTGGTGCTGCTGGGGGCCAACACTGGCAGACGGTGTGTGATGTA